AAGTGCCCCCTATTAAAAAATTTCTCACTTTCTAATTCAAACCGGAAATATCTGGTTAAAGATGGAGGGAACTTAATCATCTCACTATATTCCTGGATAATTTTTATTATTGTGATTTTTGTTTTTGTTTTATGCTAGTGAAAGTTTCACTTATGCTCTTTAATAAATAAAATTAAATCTGTTAGCAAATTTAGAACCTGATTCAAATCAACTTCACAGAGTAATAAGTGAACATGTCGACCTAGTTTTAGCAAAAGCTGGTAAGGCATTGAGTATTCTTCATTTTCATATACTATATAGTAGGATTTGGATTAAATTCGTTTAATGACAGCTAGGCCCCTCTGATCACTTTTAGAGAATGCCCAAATTAATGAATAACCAACCTTATTAAGTTATTCTCTTCCTCTGTCTCACTCATTCCTGTCATATGCCCACCCATCACGCCATTTCTCACCTTCAAACAACTCATTATGTCAAAATAATAATAATAATAATAATAATAATAATAATAATAATAATAATAATAATAATAATAATAATAATAATAATAATAATAATAATAATAACTCATGGACTTTTGCAAGATCTCTCTCTCTTTTTTTCTTTTTTTTTTATGTGTGTGGGGTGCGAAGACGACTAATTGAGAAAGAATAAAACATAATAAAAAAAAGAACTAAAAAATGACATTAGGGACAATGGATAAGTCGACAAGAAAACATGCCTCAACCTGAGAGGGGTCTGGTTGTGGTGGTCCCTCTCCTTCAGAATGGTATTTCATAAATCACATATTTTACAAAAAAGATTAACCTCATTCTCAGTTTGGATTTGGAAGCATATTAGTCATTTTATTTCAAAATAAATAAGGAAACGAAGAGTGTAAGGTTTATTTAGAAAAAAAAACATATATTTCAGCATTTTCATTGAGTATTTGAATAATTTAAATTTATTTTGCATAAAATAAAATCCATTAAAAGAGAAAGTTTATCCTATTAAAAAAAATTCATATTCAAGATTCAAACCCGCACTGCATTGTAGAAAATAAAGAAAAACTGAAACGCGGGTAAGCAACAAAACAATGCAAAATTTGATTTTTGTCACCATTTGGAAGGAAATTTAAGTTCACAAGAAAAGTGCAAAAACGAGCGTGTGTTTCGGTTTTTGCGTGTGGTGTGGGACCACATAATGAGTGGGGCCCTTTAACCGGGTTGGAAATAATATGAACGTTGGAAAGAGGGATTTTTCTACTCATTGCTGATCCATTTGTTTCCCCTTTCTACTAATTTGTCTCACCGGCAATAGCCGATTGCTTTTGCCATGAAATTTGCTATGTAGGCTCCACGTCATTACCACATAGGTATAACAAAAACTTATGTGGATGGAATATCAATTTTTTTATGATAAAATAAATAGTTTATCCATTGAACTTGTACCAAAATCTCTCTTACACATCTGTTCATTACGGGATAATATTAAACACTCAAATCTTTTAAAAGTATGTCAACAACACACCACTTTAGCTATGTGGCACCTACATATTCTTCACATAAAACAGACGCATAGATGCTAAAATTTTCATGTTAAGAAGTTTTATAAAGATTCCACGTGTCTAATTTTAAAGTTTTTTTTTCTTTTTACACCAATTAACAATTTTTTTTTAAAAAAAAACACCTACCACTCTTGTCTTCTTCCCCACCCCAACCCCCCACCTCGTGTCTTCTTCATAGTTCCAAACTTCCTAATTTGCATTATATTCTCTAGATGCCCTTCCCCCTTCGTCTTCCCTCCCCACCCCCTAGGTTTCGTCTCCCTTCCCCTATTTCGTCTTCTTCCCCGATTCAACCTTCTCCCATTTCATTTTCTTTTGGTTGCTCAAGATCCGAAATTTCTCCGAAAATTTCTTGTTGGTAGTTATGTCACTGAGAAGGGAATACTTGCATAAGAAGTTAAGTTTTCAATTTCTTGTTTTGTAATTTTGGTGACAAAGTGGTCTTTATGGTTCTTTCAATTGTGCCAAATAAAGATCTGAAAATTTTCCTTTTCGTTATTTTCTTCTGGCTCATCATTATTGAGTTTTGTGAAAAAGAATAGATAATACCAAAAATAAGGGATGGTCGGAGATGGAGTTTCAGGCAAAATTTTGACCGGTGAAGTTTTTTTGGATATGTTATTTGTGCGTATCTATTTGGGTGTTACAACTAGAATTTTTGTGAAAACAATGGGAGAGTATTTTTTTTTACAAAGAAGAAGGGTTTGCAATGGTGGAAAAGGTGGTGCAATGGTGGGGAAGGTGGTGCACTGATTGTTGGGGTTTTTTTTATTTGAGCGGGTCGAATCTTTAAAAGGGTTTGGGTGATTAAAATGGTCCTTTTAATTTATAGACGCGCCTGTTATACACAGCATAGACTATTTCTTGGACCGGTCAAAAGTAGTGTATTATTGACAGTGTATTATTGACATACTTTTGAAAGATTGAATGTGTAATATTATTCCCGTGGTGAACACGTGTGTAAGAGGGATTTGGGTACAAGGTCAATGGGTAAACTATGTATTTTGCCTTTCTCTATTTCATTAAGTACTTAGAGATGACCAGAGGTTGAGCCAGAACTTCAAGCTTATGGGTTCGAAATTCTAATAGTTTTAAGTTATCGTATTTTAAATTAATAATTTATACATAATTAATAAAAAATTTAAGCTTAATATAAAATTTGAATCAAAGCTATTGAGTTCGGCCGAACCTGCTCCCAATACTCTAGCTCCGCCCCCGGAAAGTACTGGATTTAAATACGGGATCTTGAAGGTAAATTGCATTTGAGGTTATCTTTTCTACAAAATTATTACAATTGCTACCTAATTAAGAAAAAAAATATTAAACGCCATTTGTTTTCTTAACTATTTTTTTCCCGAACTATACAAAGCAAAATATGTCCAAGAAAAAGTGATAGAAAATTTGTGTAGGTAATAAGAGATACCAAACAAATCATTATGGTTAAAGAATGCAATTTGGATCACTCAGTTTTAAATAAAAATAGATATAATTATTTAACCAAAAAATATTTTCAAAAATAAATAATTAAATTTATTTTTAACGAGATCATTTGGTTCGAATCAAAGTTCAATGGAATGAAACGTAGAATCAAGCTACTAGTGTTGTGAGTGAATTAATGAAATTAAGCAAATAAAAGATAAGAAGGATCTTATTAATTATCGATGTGAACTAAAATGCTTTGCTAGATCAAGAAATATTGCCTTGCAATTATACAATAACTATAAGTAAAGAGTAGGATCGGTCGATTTGTGAATGAATTTACAAGTAAATTGACTGGGGGTATTTTTAGCTTATGTTTAACATTCACATGATCATCCCCATTTTCGCATGTCACTCAAAGCGATTATCCATCGATGAGATACTAGCCAGTTGTGGACGATAAATCTAGCGTAGTGGGCTGAGTTAATCCCTTGAGTTACGGGGGCAATTAAAGTCTGGGTCAAGTTTCGGGTCGTGACTTCATTAGTAAGTCTCCGAAATCGTTAGGACGCTTTACCGAGACACAACACTTATTTCTCCGGGGAGGGGATCACCGAGTCACAAGTATTTCTTGTGAACATCGAATTCCGCTGCTATCGTGATCCTAGGATAAAACCTATCACAAAGAATACACGTGATCTATCCATGTGTCAAAATCGAATTTTGACCAATACATAACAATTAGAGCGCGTTTGGATTAGCTGACTGTAAATAGATGATAAGCTTAAAGTGTTGAAACTGATTTTTTTAAATAAGTATTTACGTATTTGGATAGACATGCTGAAACTAATAATAAGTAGTTGATGTGTTTGGTAGAAACGTGCTGATAAGCTGTTCTTTTATTAAAATGACTAAAATATTCTTAAAAACTTTACAAAAAATTATGAATTAAAAAGTATATTTGTAATGAAAACGATGAACAATGAATAAATGAAGAAAAAGTTAGGAAATTTATTTTGATTTTTTTTTTTTTTTTTTTGTGAATTAAAAAAATATTACCATTAAGGATAAACTAATAAAAGTCTTGGTCAAACTAAAAGTGCTTATAAGTTGAAAAGTCATAAGTTGGGGGTGACCAACTAATGACTTATGTCTGCTTTTAGCTTATAAGTACTTTGGGTGTTTACCAAACGCGTAGATAAACTAAAATATACTTATAAGCCAATTTGACCAGCTTATAAGCTTACAAACACCCTCTTAATTTTAACTTTTCTTTTTCTCGAATAATTTGTAACGGAAGAAGATATACAGTTGAACTTAGAGGGCGTTTCTACGCGTTTGGTAAATATCCAAAATGCTTATAATAAGCTAAAATCAGGTATAAGTCATAAGTTGGTCATCCCGAGCTTATGACTTTTTAGCTCATAAGCAGTTTTAGTTTGACCAAAGCTTTTATTAGTTTATCCTTAATAATATATTTTAATTCACAAAATATTTTTTCCCAAAATAAAATTTCTAACTTTCCTTCATTCCATATTCCTTGTTGATCCTTTTCTTTACAAAGAAACTTTTTAATTTATAATCTTTTATAAAGTTTTTAAGGATATTTTTGTTATTTTAACAAAATAACAGCTTATCAGTACTTTTTTACCAAACACATCAATTACTTATTATTAGTTTAGCACATCTATTCATACACATAAATGCTTATTTAAAAAATCAGTTTCAGCACTTTAAGTTTATAAGTTATCTATAATCAACTTATATCCAAATGGGCTCTTAATCTCCCAAAGGACCACATAACTCAAAGTTGTAACTTTGTAAGGTCGAAATTATCTTGAAAATGTATTTAACCATGAAAGAAAATAGATAGAAATTGAAATAAAAAGAGAGTTGGTTTACAACCGGCTTGACCAGTTAGTGGGTAACTTATGAACGCACATTGCGCCACACATTATAGGCATTTTATAAAGGATTTAGGGCGAAATACAGAACCGTTTTTTGCTGACTCACCCCCAATCCATTCCCTTATTCCTTTCCATTGTTTTTTTAAGCCAACTATTATGTACTAGTACTACTTAATTTACGCATTTCGATACTACACAAACATTTGAAAGAAAAATAAAAAATAAAAACCCTACAAAACATACCCCCACCGAAAAAAGAAGAGGTTTTAAAAGAGGCTCTGCTCTCCTCTGTGACTGTTCAAACTTCATCCCCCTGCTTAGCAGTACACACCACTCTCATGTAAACAAGAGGCTCCTTTTTAAGGTGTTTTCATACACAAAAAGTAATCTAATCTCTCTCTCTAGTCTATACAAAAGAAAAACCCTTTCGTTGTCTTTTTTCCATTGGAAAATCAATGGGTTCGTTTGTGGGCAGCCGTTTGTGTTGCATTGTTCTGCTCTTCACTCTTTGCTTCGCCGCTGACCCTTATGTCAATTTTGAGTTGGAGTACTCCTACATCACTGTTTCTCCTCTTGGCGTTCCCCAACAGGTTCCCCCACTTTCCTCCTCCCTCTCTGATTTGCATGAACCAACCGATTTTTTTTTTTTGCTTTATTAGAAAAAAGAATCTTTATACTCTTGCTAGTCAAGGAAGATTTGAGAAAAAAAGAACCCTTTTTTAAAAATATTTTCTTAGGTTATCGGGTTTTAACTTATGTGGTATGTTCCCATGGAGTTCTCTTTTGTTTTTCTTTTCGCTTTTACCTTTTATAACTGTTCATAATTTTGATGGTATCTTGATACTTTGGTAGATGAAAAAGATTAGGATCTCATTAGAGATACATGTCAATTTCAATTTCTCCTGATGTAATACTTTTTAAAGATTTTGTTCTTTATCTAGTGCTACTATCATTTGGTGTGTAAAAGTTGCAAGGGACCACTTATTAGGATCACTATTTGGGTCCCTTGTGTTGGTCAATTTTGGTCCATAGTGGTGATTTTTAGTTTTTGCTTCAGACCAAAATGCTAGAGTTACTTTAAAAGTTTTGCTAAATTTTGGTACATAGAATGACGATTTTTGTACACAATTTGCTTGTATAGTTTATATATTCAGTTATATGATTATGAATTGATCTAAAATTTACTAGGTGATTTCTTCCCCGGTACTTGTACTGGTTGGGAGGTTGTAGGTACCCAGTGCAATAGTTGAGATACCCAGTAGGCCAGTAAAATAGTTGTGTATTTACTGTATTGTGCTAAAAAAAACTTATTTAGGTGCTATGCACAAATATTTGCTGTCCTGTGTTTCAATTTTCCCAGAATGAGGGAGATAAATAAATAGAAAACAGGCTCTGACTGTTGGTTGATAGACCATGGTTTGACATATAATTGCAGGTTATAGCTGTGAATGGGAAATTTCCAGGTCCTGTCCTTAACGTTACGACCAATTATAATGTCGTGGTGAACGTGAAGAACAAATTGGACGAAAATCTTCTTGTCACTTGGTAAGTTTCATGTTATAATTTTAAGCACATTTTCTATGTTTAATAGGAAGATTGAGTGTTGACTTATGTGATATTAATAGCCTGTTTGGCCAAGCTTCTCCCCAAGCCAAAAGTGGTGCTTTTTCGTCAATTTGAGGCGTTTGGCCAAGTTCTTTTTTGGTAAAAAAGTGCTTTTGGCTAGAAGCAGAAGCAGTTTCGAAGAAGGAAAAAAAGTAGTTTCTCCCTAGAAGCAGAGTCAGTTTTGACTTTTCTTCCTACCACAAATAACCTTTGCAAAATATTATATATACCAAAATAACCTTACTTAGTTTAAACTAATAAGTAATATAAAATGATTTTTGGGATGAACTTTCATATTTATTGAATGATTTTTTGATATATTTAAATTATCTTGAAAGAATAAAGTACTTTTAAATTTTATTTTTATATTTTACTTAAATAAAATAAAAAACTTAATTGGTATCTTTAATAATAAATATTTGTAATTATTTATCTACTTATATAATGTTAACTATTAAGCAAATTTCTTCATGTCCTTATTTGTAATTTGACTCTTAAAAGCACTTTTTGAAAGGTTGACCAAACACAAATTATTGTTCAAAAGTGCTTTTCAAATTGATTAGCCAAACGCAAACTGCTTTTCTCCAAAACTATTTTTTTTGAAAAACACTACTTTTTTGAAGATCACTTTTGAAAAAAATATTTTTCAAAATAAGCTGATTTTTCCAGTTTGGCCAAACAGGCTATAAATGTTACATACTTTAGGATTTTAGTTTTTTCTTTTGAATTTTTGCAGGCCTGGAATTCAGATGCGACGCAGTTCCTGGCAAGATGGTGTTCTTGGTACAAATTGCCCTATCCCTGCTAAATGGAACTTCACTTACCAGTTTCAAGTAAAGGATCAGATTGGTAGCTTCTTCTATTCTCCTTCCCTCAACCTACAGAGGGCTTCTGGTGGTTTCGGTTCTTTTATTATCACGAACCGTAACATTATCTCTATTCCTTTTAGTCCTCCTGATGGGGATATAGTCATAATTATTGGAGATTGGTACACTCGCGACCATAAAGTTAGTGTCTCTTCCATTTTTAGTTTTCTTTTTCAAGCAGTTAGACTTGTGAATTTACTTGTACCAGCTCTGATTTACTTTCAAATTATAGGCTTTGAGGAAGGACCTTGATGCTGGAAAGCAATTGGGGATGCCAGATGGAGTACTTATTAATGGAAAAGGCCCATTTAGATACAACACGACGTTTGTGCCTGATGCGATTGATTATGAAACGATAAATGTTAATCCAGGTCAAGCTCTTCAGAACATGCTAAATAAGTCTCAAAACTTGATGTAGTTGATTGGTCGCCCTTATACTGGCTCTTTGATAGGAAAATAAGCCTCATGAATTTGATCTGTCCTCTTGGAATTGTTTTCTGATCACCTTTAGTTGTCTTTATCCTTTGTGTTTTTTAGTAAATGAAAAAAAGTCACATTAGGAAAGTGATGCCAATTTTATTGGATTCTTTTGTATATTCAACTTTTGTTTTTCTTTCTAGCCTGTATCAAGCTTGTAGAAAGTTGAAGTGTGGTTGATGTCATATAAACATTGCAAAGTAGCAGATTTGTGAAAGCTGTTAGATTAAGAACTAGACCTTGTTATTTAACATTATCATCTTATTTGAAAGCAAGTAATTTGAATGTTTCTGTTTGTTGTTTGACATAAATCTTAACCCTTTGCATGTGATAATATGTCATTCTGCAGGCAAAACCTATCGGGTTCGGGTGCACAATGTTGGAGTCTCTACTTGTTTGAATTTTAGGATTCAAAATCATAATTTACTCTTGGTGGAGACAGAGGGATATTACACTTCACAGCAGAATTATACTAGTGTAGATATTCATGTTGGGCAATCTTACACATTTCTGGTTACCATGGATCAGAATGCAAGTAGTGATTACTACATTGTGGCGAGTGCCAGGTTTGTAAATCAATCACTCTGGCAGAAAGTAACTGGCGTTGCTGTTTTGCACTATTCCAACTCCAAAGGAAAGGCAGCTGGCCCCCTTCCGGACCCTCCAAATGATGCTTTTGACACATCTTATGCACTGAATCAGGCCATGTCGATCAGGTTCATTGACTGTTTCCTTTCCCTACTTATTGATTTCACTATATTGTTCAAGTAATACAAATTGGTATACTACTTAAGATGACTAATTTGGCTTGGAATTTGCAATTGTTTCTTTCTGTTCAATAATGTGATGCAATGTCTGTAGGCAAAATGTTTCTGCAAGTGGAGCTCGGCCGAATCCTCAGGGATCTTTCCATTATGGTCAAATTAATGTCACAGATCTTTATTTGTTAAAGAGTGTGCCACCAGTGGTAATTGATGGAAAACTTCGAGCTACATATAACGGGATTTCATTTAAAAATCCTGAAACTCCAATAAGGCTTGCCGATGTATACCATGTGAAGGGTGACTACAAGCTTGATTTCCCAACCAAGCCAATGAACAGACCACCCAAGGTGGATACGTCCGTTATCAATGCAACATACAAAGGATTTATAGAAGTCATATTGCAGAACAATGACACTGTGGCGCAGAGCTTTCACATGGATGGTTACTCATTTTTTGTTGTTGGGTATAGCTTTTGCTTTAAAAATGTATCATTCTATTATTTGTACCTTTCCGTCAAGTGAATGTTAATGGTAGTTATTTTCCTGTCTGCTGCAGGATGGGTTTTGGAGAATGGACAGAGAATAACAGGGGCTCTTATAATCGGTGGGATGCAATTTTCCGGTCTACAACTCAGGTTTGTTCTTCTGTAGTTGTCTTTGCGCATATAAGCCTCTACTAGGTTGAAGGCTTTCAATTACTGTTTTTCCTTTGCTCATTTTGTATCTATGTAGCTCCTCTCTCTATTTACCTGTTCGCGTTCCTTTTAGGTTTTTCCTGGAGGATGGACAGCAATCATGGCATCTCTTGACAACGTTGGTGTATGGAACCTCAGAGTAGAAAACCTGGACAGGTGGTATTTAGGGCAGGAAACTTATATGAGAATCATTAATCCCGAAGATCATAGCAATAAAACAGAATTGCCAGTTCCTAGCAATGCTCTCTACTGTGGTGCCCTTGCTTCTAAGCAGAAGTATGATATTATCGGTTATTATCTCTTCTGTTACACATATTTTTGGTTACTCCTAACGCACCTCTAAATTGATCATGCATGTATTTCAGGGCACAGAAAACATCTTCAGCGACAACCATATTTAGAAGCTCGGAGCTGTATCTTACGTTTATGTTGGTATTCTCTGCTGTTATCAGTCTCCTATGCTAGAGTTCAATTTCAGCTTGTGAAAAACATTGGAATAGCTGGAATTGGGAATTCACTTTCTTGTGGGGAGGAATGTGCTGATAGGATTTATGCTTCTTAATTTTTTTTCTTTTCCTTGAGAAAGTTAATTAATCATTAGTTTGCACAGTGTCCCTCCTTTTTTTTTTTCATTTTTTTTTAAAGCTTTGGAAAAATGTGAAGCCAACTAACAGACAGTATTTCGCGGGGGATCCATCATTCTTTGTCTCAATTACTGCATAGTTATTAGATATTATGATGAGCAACCCTTTGTGATTATTCTGGTTTGTTCTCTAATTTAATTTGGTATCATTAGTTCCTTTTACTTTGATCTTTTGAGATAAAACTCTTGTAATTATTTTGTTACTTCTAGAAGCTTTGTTGTGCCTCAAATTATAATTATTTGGTTTTAGGCCTATATCTGATGGCCTATTTAGCTTGAAAATTGGTCAAGTTTGAGATCAAGCATTCAAATATTTTTGGGTCAGTCTCATAGTGTTAGAGCCCATATCATTAAGTATAGGCCTCTGGTATTTACAAGGGATTTTTTCCTTCCTATACAATATTTGAAATTTATTTACTAAAATTGTCCCAATTTTGTATATTATCCGCCTTAAATAAGGTTTGCTTACAATTTGTATACAATCCATTATTAGTGCCTTAAATTAGGGACTGAGTTAGACCATTTTTGTCTTAAATTAAGGGATTCACTTACACCTTTTTCCTTTCCTTTTTTTTTTTAAAAAAAAATTAAATTAAACACATATTTATCTAACAACAAACGTCCTTCGCTGACCAAATTCATTAACGATCTACATCCTTCGAGGATAATCCATTATGCCATAGTAGTAATATACAAGAGACACCAAATCATTGAACTCACGTTTAGATTTGATGCTATAAATTTGGCCACCTTCTAATTTCTCCAACCATTGGACTAAGGGAAGAAAACTGATCCTAATAGAATTTTGAATTCACCATTGTTTAGTGACTATTAACTTCCTATAACTATCATATACATAATTACTTCCTATAGCTACTAATCAGTTGTTACGATAGTGTATTTGCGTTGCTGTATTCATAAATACAGCAGCAAAAAGTGCCTAAAATCAGTGCAGTCTAGCTGTACGCACATGTATTCACATGTATTCGCGCCATGTATTCATGAATACAGTAACGACAATCACCTTAAAAGTAGGTATGTCCAACTGTCTAATAACGGAAATAATATCAATTAGCGTGATACACTCCTAATATAACTCAACAAAATCAATTCTAACATGCCTCATTATCTACCCAATTAATTAGAATAATTTTTTAGTTGTATATATCTGTTGTATTTAACTTTTGTATTTAGTGTGTTTCAATAAAAAAAATTATTGTTGCATTCATTAGATTCAATGTTTGTATTTACTGTATTCGCTATTTTATATTCAGTATATTCAAATGTATTTGTATTAACATTATTTTAGTTATTCCTAATACATGTTATTATTGATGTATTATGTATATTTTATTGGTTGTATTCACTGTATTTCTATTTGTATTCAGTGTATTTTACTGTATTTTATTGTATTTTAAAATTAAATGTATTCACTGTTTATATTTTGTACTATTTTAATGTTTGTATTTAATGTATTTCAATGTTTATATGCATATTGTATGTACAGTAGGCATGAATACATGTGTATTCAGTTGTATTAAAAAAATACAGATTTTCAAAATACATAAATACAGATGGCGTGAATTTGTACAGATCTTCGAGTGAATTTGTACAAAATATAATGTATTTGTATTATTGTATGTGACTAAAATAGCAAAGAAGGAAGAAAGTTCGTCGGAGATGGTATTTTCCGGCCAAAAAGAGAAGAAAGTTCGTCGGATCCGTACAACAAATTTTTGATAAGAGTTCATTACATTGTTCCTTTCCGTTCGAAAATTCACTCTTTTCTGTTTCATGGCTGCCTTCTACTCTATTCTAATATCTCGTCGTCCATCAATACTAGGGCGTGTATCTTGAGTTGCTCGATGAGAGAGAGAAGGAAGAGAGGGAGAAAGAAGAAAAAAATATGAGAGAGAATCCTGTGTTAATTGAAAGAAAGAGGTAGGAAAAACATAAATAGCGTATTTCATGCCTCAATGGTAGTATATACCATAAATCTCTATTTTGCTATAAAATATAAAAGGTAGCTATAGAAAATAATATTTTAAAATAATTTTAGTTTATAATAAATATGATGTATACCTTTGCTATAGGAGATAAAATTTCTATTCAGAAATCTAGGAACCAACAAACTGATTAGTGCTCAAGATGGAAGACATATTCTGTCAAGCGCTATAATTTACTAGGGTCCAACTTCTATTCCTTCTTCACAGTAAGCATTTGAGAAGCTGGATCCAATACCCAACCCAATTTGTACGGTANATATATATATATATATTTGGTACATTCACAATAACATATAAACTAAAAATAAATTTTATACTACTAATTATATAGTATACAACTAATTTGTAACTTATCTATAACTTTCGTACATTATTTTTACCCAGGTAAATACAACTATAACATCATACAACTTAAATACAATTTTCATACAAATTTTATACAATATGTCTTTTGTATATTTTTTTGTATATATATTTTGTATTTGGTGTGTTCTTCTTCCTCTTAATACAATTTTGATACATATTTTTCAACTTTCATACAACATTCAAATAAAACATATATATAACTACAACAAAATATAACTTAAATACAACTTAAATACAATTTATATATAACTATAATACAATTTCGTAAGTATATTATATGTCATGTTCTTCTTCTTCAACTGTTTACAACAAATTTTAGAAGTTTTTTAATGGTTGTCAATGGTGAGAGTCAAACACCTTCAAAATTTATTGATTGACAATTTTAATTTGAACACCAATTGTGCAAGGAAAAATTCTAAGTTAAAACTTTATAGTAAAACGATTGACATCCATTGATGAATTCCATTAAAACTATATACAAAAAGAAAGGATAAAAATCAGAGAACATCAAAGTGGGGAAAGAACAGAGAAGGACAAATAGAGAGACGGAGAGAGAGAGAGTATGTATATTCCTTCTTCAATTCCTAATATAAAGGGATACTCATTTAAAACTAATTTGTATATAATTGGTAAATTGTATATGACCATGTAATTAAGTTAAAAAAACTTGATTAGGGAGGGTAAATAAGTTTCCTATATAGTATTGATCGGTAAAAACACTTACAACAAAGCTAATCATCAGAGTTGCTGCTTTTCTGTATCGCCTTAGAAAAACAATGATCCCTCATTATATTTTTTACAATAACAATATTGTTAGGAGGCTATAAGTCTCGACTATTCTACTGAGTAGACTCAAATCAAGGATTTGAACTTAATGAGTTTGGGTTTAGTTCTACTACCTCTTATTTAATTTACTGGGTCTAAAATCAATTATTCGTACGTATATGCTGAATTCTTTTATAACATATACAAGTTCGGAGCTGAAGGTACTGAGTTTGAGTGTTCGAACCTGTGTATATTGTATACTAGATATCCACTTATATCCATTACCGAAGCTCAGGGCCTGATGTAATACCTCATTCATCATTGAAAATCCTTTGGTGGAATTCTTCCAATCCATACTTTCCCTTTGGTACTAAACTCACTCAAAAATTTGGAAAGTGCTTTCATACTTTATCCACCATTACAACTTCTCTCTATCATATTACCTCGCCTTTCTTATAAGCAGCAGCTTGTCTTTTACCCAACATTGCATCATGCCCTCAACAGATACTCTCCCTCATTTGCTAATTAACTTTCAAATATAACCGGCTGTAAATACCAATTAATTACATTACACAATAAGAAAAGCAGATCACTAGATAGACCCTTATAATATTAAGATCCAAAAATACATACATAAAGAAAGGGATATAGAACCTTAGAGTGCATATGGCAAACGAGCAGGTTAATTCCTTTTATCAGCACTTGTAGCTGGAATTCACACAAACAATCAACTACTTTGACCCAGAGGCGGATGTGACTGGTGATATAGGATTCATCTGAACTCAGTACTTCAGACGCAAAGCATAAATTATGTGTAAAAATTCATTAAAATTATAAAATTAGTATTTATGAACCCATAATTTTAAACATACAATGACTTCAATGCTAAAAACCTTAAAGATTGAACCCATAAAACTTAAATTTTGGATCCATCTCTGCTTTGACCTTCGTACTTCGAAACACTCTAAACAAAGTGGAATGGAGGGAGTAACCGAATAATTTAACATGTTAGCAAATATTTCTACGCTCATTAAGACTGATAGTCTAATAACGATATATTTGTATGGGTCAAAATCTGTCTCAGTGAGATTTAGTATGAAGCGGTATCGTGGAAAGCAATATGGTCAAGATCGATTAGTAGATAACGGGGCTCGTAGCCGAGTAGTCAATAACGGCCGAGGTCGAGTATTAAGGGCAGTGTTTAACTGCTAGTTTTTGCAATAGAATATTCAGAAGAATATTCTATTGAATATTCTTGGTGTCTGTACTTTTAGGGTTGACTAGGGAATGTCCCATATAAATAGAAAAAGAGATAGGGATAGATAGGGAGATAATATTCTCTCATAAGAATATTCTTGGAAAAGAAGACTCTCTTTCTAAATAAAAGACAATCACTACCTTTTTAAAGAGATTCGATTGTCTACTATTCCACACTTTTTCCATTAGATCCGAGAAGGATCCCAACATTCTAGCATTTGTCTATCATTCATCATTGTCAGAAAGAAGAATCATCCACCTCATTCAATATTGGGTGAATCATTCTCCTTATTTACTTTAATGCCATTTATCGTTATTTATTGCTTAATATTCCCCCATCATTAATGATCTTTAAACATTGAATATACATCACATTTAATCTTCTCTCAACACTGCTCTTGTGTTATTTGTGTTAATCGATTATAGACCAGAAGTTATTATCATTAACTAGGTTTAGCCCTTCGTCATACAAAATTAATTAGTTTAATCAAAAATCTATATTTTTTGGTCAAATAATTTGGCGCCGTCTGTGGGAATACCTAGTTAAGTTTTTAGTTTCTTCTAGATCTATAACTGGCACAGTTCATAAAAAAAGAGCTCCTACTTGACATGGCAGGTAATGGAGAAGAAAGAATGAAGGCAGTGGTCGATCTCACTACCAACCTCTTAAACACCATCAATGAGGTCTCCGAAACCGAAGGAAAAGACATAACGCCTAATAC